TGAGCGGGTCTGGGGGTGCCCCCGCCCCTGCAGTTAAACAGCGACATATTGGGAAAGGAGCGGGGGAAAGGTTTAAGTGGCCGAGAGCAACAGAAGCTATTGTTGTTGCAAAAGTTCAAGTTTCCAGCTTCCTCTTCCTCCAGCTGTCGGGCGGGAGCGGCGGGCACGCTGCCGGCACTGAGCACAAACTCAAACATGCCCTCTGGGCTCGGCTGGGAGCGCGGTGTCACCGAGTTAGTCACCCAGAACCCCGGCAGCGGGGTGAATAGCAGGCACATCTGTCCGGCGGCGGCGGCGGGGGGAGAAGGCTCGTCGACGCAGCCGACTCGGGCTCTTGTTCCCTTCTGGGTGGATCAAAGCGGTGGAAGCTTCGGGAGCCGCTGTCCGGAGGTAAAACACCCGTACGCGCAAAGCGGTGGGTGCCGCTCTGCCCGGGCTCCTCCGGCGAGTTCCAGAGCAGGCGGTGATGTTCCGCTGGCCAGGCCCCGCGCTCCTCCGGAGCCTCTGCTCCTTTCCAGAGGGGTCTTCGATTCTGCAAAATGCCCCCATTTTGCTGCCCTCGGAGCCGAGGCTCTGCGGGGAGAGGGGACGTCGCTGCTGGCTCGCAGGCTCTCTCCCCATTGCAAAGCTGCCAGCAAAATCTGCTGGGATACCCCGTCTGCCTGGAGCTTTCCACCCTAAAACCCTAAAATCTGAAATCCTTGAAGTACAAGCACAGCACCAAACAGAAAAAGCACCCGCTCTGTATCAGGGCTCGGCCAGCGAGCGGGTCTTGGTGGCACTGCTGCAGCCGAGGACCCGTTTGACTCTTGGGAAACAGTGAAAAAGGTGCTAACAGAGCTATAGGCGCGTGAGAAACTGCTCGGGAGGTAAGAGCGAGTGTCCCGGATCTGATTTGGTTAAACTGAGGATAAACATCCTAAACATTGATCAGAGGATTTTATTTAATTAAAAAAAAATGCTCCTGCTGGTAAATACATTTGGCTGTCTAGGATCTGAGCAGTGGTCGTTGCTTTATCGATTGTCATATCATTAAATCAGGCGGGGGAAAAAATTGATAGGCTTGAAGACCCTGAACATAAAGTTCAGTTGTCTAGAAAATCTGTTAAGTTGCTGAGCATCTTGCAATGATTTAAAAAAGAAAAAAAAATCCCGCTTCTAAATGAAATGTCAATGCCTATTAGGCTAGATGATGTGATGCTAGTAATTCTCTTGCTAGGCTGGCTCATGTGGCGTTCCAGATGCTTACGATTATCCAGATTCCTGAATGGAAAACTACTTGATTAATTCTAATATCTTAGCTCCCAGCCTGTAATCGAATCCCGCAGCAGAGACTCCAGCGTCCTTCCCGTTGGATGCACTAACAGATTTGGCTGCTGGACTAAGATCTTATTTCATTATTCTTTTTAGCTACGAATGATGACAATTCGTTGTTCAGTACACCCTTCTGTACGTCTGTAGCGACAAAAAAGCCTTCCAGTGAGTTAAAATGTAGTTTTTAGTGGCTCCGGAGTGCTTTTAGCAAAGGTGCCGTCCTATCCTCTGTCTCAGGAGGAGATGCTGAAGCGTCTTCGTGAGAAAACAAATGTTAAACTCGCGACATCTGGAACTGAGACCAGGTGGCCAAGAGGGCCAGTGGCACCCTGGCTTGTATCAGGAACAGTGTGGCCAGCAGGAGCAGGGCAGGGATGGTCCCCCTGTGCTGGGCACTGGGGAGGCCGCCCCTCGAATGCTGTGCTCAGCGCTGGGCCCCTCACCCCAAGGCGGCCATGGAGGGGCTGGAGCGTGGCCAGAGCAGGGCAGCGAGGCTGGGGCAGGGGCTGGAGCCCAAGGCTGGGGAGGAGCGGCTGGGGGAGCTGGGGGGGCTCAGCCTGGAGAAGAGGAGGCTGAGGGGAGCCCTCATCGCTCTCTGCAACTGCCTGAAAGGAGGCTGGAGCCGGGGGGGTCGGTCTCTTCTCCCCAGTCAGGCCCTGGCCCAGGCTGGCCAGGGCAGGGGCTGAGTCCCCATCCCTGGGGGGATTTAAAAGCCGTGTAGATGTGGTGCTTGGGGACATGGTTTAGTGGTGGCCTTGGCAGCGCTGGGTTAACGGTTGGACTCGATGATCGTAAGGGTCCTTTCCAACCCAAGCGATTCTGTGATTCTATACCCCGTCAAGCGCAGGTGGGGCTAACACCCCGTGAATCTCGTTACCCCGTTCGTAGGTAGGTGGTGGCGGTGAGGTTTCAGCTGCCAGGCGGGAGTTCCCAGCCTGAGGGGCAGGGCTGCCTTAATCCCTGCTCAGCTGATGCCTTCGGACCGCGGGACGTTTCATGTCTGGCTTCTCCCTGCCTCTCCCGGGTTCCCGTCAGGCTTCCCCTCCATTGCAGTAGTATTTTCCTTTCTTTTATTTTGCTGGATTTTATGTGGCGGTTAGACTGTCAAGCGTAGAAAGGGGGTGAGGCGGAAGTTCCTGCGTTCAAATTCTTTCAAATGGCCAAGTAAATAAAATGAAATTCAGACATGCGTTGCACACGTCCTCCCGTCCCGCTCTAAGGGAGGAGCGGAAGGTGACTGGGCCTCGCGGTGGCTGTGGAGGGATTTCTCAAAGCCCCTGGAGTGGGTGGGAGAGGAGACGCTGAGGTCTCGGTGCGGGTGCCCCCCGTCTCTTGCTGGGCTCAGCCTGCTGTGGGTGGTTTCTGGGGGAGCTGGGGCTGAAGCTGGGCCCTGCAGTGGCAGCAAGCCAGTGGTTTTTCATCCGAAGGAGCTGCTTTCTGTGCCGGCACAGAGGACGCGATGGCACAGATGGGGCCGTGGGGTGGATTTCTCCTGCCGGCAGCGTCCCTCCAAGCCAGAGCAGGTGACGGCCATGACCAGCAACAGCCCCGGATCGAGTCAGGTTTGCTTATCTCTGTTGTGAGTGCAAACACCCTCCGTCTGCATCGCTGCCACGGGAGCCGGTCTCTGAAGACAGCCGTCTGCCCCGGTACGGGCTGCCGTGGCTGCGCACCCCCTGCCTCGCAGGGCCGGGAGGGCTCTGTGCCGGCACGGCGACATTTCTCCTTCAAGCAATCTGCGAGCGCTCTTCGGGCAACAGGGCTGGCAGCAAGCGTCGCTGGCCTTCAGCCATGGGGCGCTGGGAGAAGGGGGAAGCGTAAGGACGTATCCTGGGCTGGTGCTGTGCAGCACCCCAGCCTGCAGGACCCTTTGATAATCATAGAATAGAATCACAGCATCGCTGAGGCTGGAAAAGACCTTTAAGCTCACCCAGTCCAACCATTAACCTGTGCTGCAAGCTGCCCGGAGTTAGCGAGGCGCAGGGCTGGGTAGCACGGATCTGCTGAGGATCCCGCGTGAGAATTTGTTCCTCTGCCACCGTGTAGTAGCAAGTATCCAAGTTTTTTGGAGGAAGGACCTATTGTTTACCTGCCAAATAGGTCATTATCATTAAACTTTTCATTGTAACCCTGGTAAAGAGAATATAAATCTTCTGTTGGTGCTGTGGATCATTTACAGAGGTCGTGGCCTCCCGAACCGCAGTTGGGAGCTACGCACAACGGCTACCAGTTACCGTTCTGTTTTCTTAGGTACTGGATCTCAGTCCGAGTGCCCGATGAGCCGCTCGGAGCATCCAGTAGCAGGGCACCAGCGCTGGCTCCCTCTCCTGTCAAAGAAGGACGGTGCCATTACCCACCCGTACACCCGTACACCCATACACCCGTACAGCTACACGTCGCACCGCCGCTGGGGCCAGCAGAGCTGCCCGACAGGCCGCTTCGTAGAGCTGGCCGTCAGCTGGCTGCTGCCGCTCATGCCTCCCTGTCTAATATTAGTCTCGGTCTAACAGGGCAAAAAGCTCCGCTGGAGGGGGATACGGATCATTTTAGGCGCCTAATTCGGCTGAGCGTTACCTGGCTCAGGGCAGCGGGGAGAGCGGCGTTCAGCCGTGTTCAAGACACGAGCCAAAGCTCAGGCATGGGTGTTGCTGGTTGGAAATAACTTTAGGATTACGTGAGTGTATTTGTTCCCTGGGATAAGTTTTTAGGGAAACCGCTGTGAGGCTTTTTGGCCAGGTGGAGGAAGGTTTGCAGAGACCCTGCGTGCAGCTGCGGGTCTTTGCTAGGCTGGCGTTCGTGCTTTCCCTTACGTTTGTGCCAGCCGTAGGAAGAGGAATACGGTGCATTTAGCTCCTTTTCGCTAATTCCATCCCAGCGCTCTTCATTAACCGTCTGACGGAGTTACCCCCGCAGCAGGCCGAGGGCAATTAATTTGAGAAGGGTGGCCAAATTCGGACGCGTACCTCTCTAAGCCCTTGAAGAAGCGGTCTGACTTGTTCAGCACGTGAGCAGCCACGGCTGCCATCGACCTCCTTATCTGGGGGGGGTTTAAACGCTTAAAGTGCGGTGCTTGCGTGTGTGAAAGGCGGCTCGTGTTTTCGCTTGTGTCTCTCGCAGCACGGAGTTGGGTGGCAGCCCTTCCCGGTGACACCTGGATGAAGGACGTGCTGGTTTTTTGCAGGAAAAATTTGCAGGAAAAGCACCGAGGGTAGTTCGATGCCTCCTGTTTCTGGGGTTTGTCTCGTTTGTCCTCTGTGCAAGAAGATGCACAACATCTCCGGTGGGGATGGGCTTTGGAGATCTGCTGAGCTGCCTCTGAAAGCCTCGTGGTTGCACTGCAACCTGAAGATCCGAACCTGTCATCTGATTGCGGGTTAATCAGCTTCGCTCTCCATCATGCCGCTGGGTGGTTCGTCGGGTATTAGACTGAACAGAAGAAAGAAATAAAAAAATGAAGAAATGAAGCCGGTTGGCGTTGGGCCATTTGAAAGGACTGTGCTTGCTATCACCTACCGGTTTGTTTCGGGGCGGTAGCCGATGAGAAACTGGATTGAATCGACTTTCCATGTTGGGTCTCCTAGGCTGCACTGGATCTATAATAAATACTCCGCGTTCCGTCCCTAGCTCCAGCCCGCTCGGGATGCTTTCCCTGCGTCTCTCCCTGAACGTGTCTCTCTTCTCTCCAGGTTGTTGCTGGAAGGCGCGGACGCGAACGCGAGGCACAGGCTGGGCTGGACTGCCCTGATGGTGGCAGCTATCGGCAGGAACTCCAGGTACGT